AGTCGTGGGGGGTCCCACGTGCCGCCCCTCCCGAGCTTGAAGTAGTAGGGGGCCCACGTGCCGCCCTCCCCCTTGAAGTCGCACGTGGCCCCCTCACGAGGGGGCTGCCCGAGGCCCGATCGAAGCACGAGGCGCTCATGGAGGCACGGGCGCCCAGCGGCCGCGCGCCGTGGCCCCTGCCTCCGCCCCGCGCCTGCGCGGGCGGCACCCCGTGCCCGCGGACACGCTGCGCCGTGATGTGGCCCTTCATGGCGAGGAGGAGGAGGAGGAGGAGGAGGAGGAGGAGGAGGAGGAGGAGGAGGAGGAGGAGGCAGGCGCACACGCTGGCAGGCGCCAGCTGCGCGCGGCCAGGCGCGGCCCGCGCCCGGGCCCTCGGCAGCCTGCCCAGGAGAGCGTCGGCGTCGAGATCTGCGGCACCGGGCCTCCGCACGGCAGGCCCCCTGCGGTCGTGCCGCAGGCTCGCCCCTGCGGAGGCTGCGCGCGGAGGCCACCCGCTTCCTGCCAGGTGCGGTCTCCAGCACTTCCTCGCCTCCTGGTCGTGCGACGTCGACGTGTTGATGTCTGCGCTGCAAGGGAAGGCCGATTGCTGCAGCAAGCTCGGCCTGACCGCCACGGCAGTCGATGTGCGCTCGGAGCAGGTGTTCGAGAAGCTGGAGTTCGCTGAGGACCGCACCCGGGTACTGGCTGCCCTGATCCTGCTCTAAGCCGCTGTGTCGGGTCAGATGATGATGTCGTTCTTTCTCTGGATCGCCCTACGTCGGAAGGGGCTGTCGTTGTAGAGAATACGGATTTCATCCGGGCGCAAGGCTCGGCCGCGCAATTGTTCGATCGGAGAGGTGTTCGGATGCATAGAAGGATGGATGTCAGAATTGATTAGACTGAAGTTGATGGCTTTGTTGTGGGGCGGTGCGGTGGTGTTGACGATTCACCAGACTATTGTGCCCATGTGCCAACTTCGCCTGCAATTCCAAATATTTGCGACAATTGTAGTTCTTCGTATGTTCAGTCCACGTACGACCCTGCCGCTCTCTTCCTGGATGCGGGCACCTGCGGTTGTGTGGCGCATGTTCGAGATGACTGGAAAGCAGCAATGGTCAGCACGCGCCAGTAGCGACATGTACCAGTGTGAAGTATGCGATGGTGCTCTAGAGCCTGGCTCTCCGCTGCGATAACGCGCTGTTTGCGACTCTGTCCTGTGCCCCGCGCGCTTCGACATTGCCAATGGCCCCGCCGATGCAGTTGGCAACTTGGTCTTCCAGAGCCCATTCGTTCTCCATTGACGAGCTCTCCCGAAGGGCCGCCTGGTTGTGCGTTCGGAAGCGCAGCCAGGGTTAGCACCATCCCTGTTCAGCACGTTTGGCTCGGCTTCTTCTCCGCGTACCTCGTCTGGTCCACGGAGCGCGTTGGGGTGGAGTACCTTGTCATCGGCGAGCTCGGGCACTGGATGTGTGGGCAGAGTGGTGCAGCGGTAAAATCCTCCTCCTCGCCCTCCTCCCCTCCTCCTCCTCCTGCTCCGCCTCCTCCTCCTCCTCCTCCCTCTCTGCCTCCTCCTCCTCCTCCGCCTCCTCCTCCTCCTCCTCCTCCTCCTCCTCCTCCTGCTCCACCTCCCCCTCCTCCTCCTCCTCTTCCTCCTCCTCTTCCTCCTCATCCCTCCCTCCCCCCTCCTCCCCCCCGAGGCCCCGCGCTGGAGGCCCTGCGCCCAAACGCCCTGCAAGATAGGCCCCCGAACAGCGAATCCGCAAGCTCCTGGACGGAGCGGGCCATCGGGACCCTGTCGGCGATCCGTGGGCGATTCTGGCCGATGCGTCCCCCCCCTGGGCCGGAGCCTCCCCGCAACGTTGCCCCTGACCCCCTCCTTCCCCACCGAGGCCCCGCCCGCGCGGGAGGCCAAGAATTCTGCCGCCCCCCCTGGTTTCCCTCCCCCCCCCCCCCCCCCCATGAGTCGCCCTGCTGCTGCCCCTGACACTGCCCCTGACCACCCCTCAACATGTTCCCCCCTCGGGCCTGACGTGCCCTCCTCGCCCTCCTCCCGCTCCACCCCTCCCCCTCCTCCTCCTGCTCCTCCTCCTCCCTCTCCTACTCTCCTCCTCATGCTCCTCCCCTCCTCCTCCTCCTCCTCTCCTCTCCTCCTCCTCCACCTCCACCTCCACCTCCTCCTCCTCCTCCTCCTCCTCCTCCTCCTCCTCCTCCTCCTCCTCCTCCTCCTCCTCCTCCTCCTCCTCCCCCCCGAGGCTCCGCTCTTGAGGCCCGGCGCCGCGCCGCCCCTGCCCCGGCGGGCCTGCCGCCAGGGTCGACGCCGCGGCCGCCACGGTGGCGGACCCCACCCTCGCCACCGCCGCGCGGGCGCGCTCGGCGCGCATGAGCCTTGCCTGGCGCGAGCGCGGGGGGTTTGGAGGGGGGGGCGGAGGAGGGGAGGGAGAAGGGCGGGAGGAGGAGGAGAGGAGGGGAGGAGGGAGAAGGGGACGCAGGAGGGGAGGGGGGGACGGAGGAGGGGAGGAGAGGAGGGGCGGAGGAGGAGGGGGAGAGGACGGGAGGAGGGAGAAGGGGACGCAGGAGGGGAGGGGGGGACGGAGGAGGGGAAGGAGAAGGGCGGGAGGAGTAAGGGATCGGGCAGCCACTCCTGGCCACCGTGAGGCCGACCGAAAGCTACGGACTCCGATGCAGGGGAAGCTGAACCGGATTAGCCCGGGCCAAGCCCAGGATTGCGCGAGATCCAGCGGGACTCGGCGGAATCAGGGACAGGTAGCCCGACGGCGGGGCCATAGAGCCGGACTGCCCAGGAGAAGGCCCGCGACTAGCAGGGCGGACCAAACCAGGCTGAAGAAGATTAAACGGGACTGTGCCAGAATGGGCCGGTTTTCGGCGGTGGACAAGCCTCCCTTTAGTAAACCTCCCATTAGTGACAACGGCCTGGGACCGAAACCGACGGACCTGGACCCGCAAAAATAACGGCCGCGACGCCCTCTCGCGAACCGAAAACGGCCAATTCCTTAATCGACGTGTCAGGGTAGGAGGTCTGTCCACCCCCGAGGTTTTTCGACCACGGGAATACCAGCGTCGGTGCCGAGCCTTGCTGCCTTCCTTGCCTCTCCTCTTCTCCTGGCTCGCGCGCGGCCGGCCGCGCGCGCGATGACCTTGGGGAGGAAAGAGGGTATTCTTACCAGCCTCGAACGTATGCCCCTCCCCCGTGCTTGTCTCCTTTTTGCTCCACGCGTCGGTAGCGCCTTTTGGCTCTTGTGGAACCGACCGACCGAACGAGGGGGAGGGGGGGAGGAGGGCGCGGGGAGGAAGTGCGGGGGGAGAGGATGGAAGGAGCGGGGCGCCTCGACCCCACGAGGTGCCCATCCATCTCGGGCTGTTCTTTGACGGTCTGTGGCTTCACAGTGCCATGGGGGCGCCGCAACTTGCAGAAAACGTCGACGCGATCTTTTTTGTGACGGAAGAAGTACTGATTCGCAAAGGCCTCCCCGGAGTCCGCAGGTCCCGGGAAGCCTCAGGAGGCCCCAAAAGGCCAAGTAACTTTCAAACGCCTCGATGCCCGAACCTATAGTTGAGCAGGGA